ACCACCCACCACCAATCCCTCCACCAATCCCAGCACCAATCCCACCACCACCCACCACCAATCCCACCACCACCCACCACCAATCCCACCACCAATCCCACCACCAATCCCACCACCACCCACCACCAATCCCACCACCAATCCCACCACCCACCACCAATCCCACCAGCAGTCCTACCACCAATCCCTCCACCAATCCCACCACCAATCCCACCACCCACCACCAATCCCACCACCACCCACCACTAATCCCACCACCAATCCCACCACCAATCCCACCACCACCCACCACCAATCCCACCAGCAGTCCTACCACCAATCCTTTCACCAATCCCACCACCAATCCCACCACCCACCACCAATCTCACCACCACCCACCACTAATCCCACCACCAATCCCACCAGCAATCCCACCAGCAATAAATCAAAGACTTATTTCTCAGGTCCATAGAAATGTTACTTCTTGCTTTTTGATTAATAAATATACTAATAATAATTTTTAAAAGTGAGAGTTTTGTACTCCGTATATTTCAACGTATATAATTTGATCTATTTCAGTTTTATTGGTCAAATAGTAGACATATTAGGTAAGTCTTAAAACACTGAGGTTTTGGAGTTAGACAAAACATGGCTTGAGTGATAGCTTTGCTGCTTATTAGAGGTGTGGCCCTAGGAGATTTGTAAATCTCTCTGAGCTTTATTTTGTCTAAAATATAAATAATAATAGTACCTAATTTGTAAGGTTATTGGGAGGATTAATTGACACATTTAAAATGCTTAGTACTATATGTCAAACATGAACACTGCTCAACAAATGTAAACTATGATTTCTATATTCAATAAGAAGTGTAGAAATGGACAAAGCATATGAAAAAGCAAAAGAAATACTAGAAGACACTTGATTTTTCTAAAAAATAAACACAAAGTATTTTTGTTTTAGTGAAATTCATGCTTAGATGCTGTGTACTAGGATTGAACATACAGCCGCCAAAATATAGCAGTTGGTGGTACACGTGGGTGGAGCAAGACCCCTCTCCCTTGTCACCGTGAAGGGGCTCCGCCATACATCACCTTGCATATGGTTTAAAGGTGGTTGGCCTGGAAGAAAAGGCCCAAGATGGGAAACAGCAGGTGTCTTTTTTACTAAATGCACTCCAATTTGAGACCAGGAATTTTCATTCTTGAAGTCTCAGAATAGTGAGTTTATAAGAGATAATAGACATAAAAGTACAATGATTTCATTTTTTAAAAAGGCCCCTTTGCACATGATATGTCCGTTATTTTTTCTAGAATATTGTGCACACATGCCTTGCACCACTTGGTGATGATAAAGATTTCTAGATCTTTGCACAGAATAAAGCTTTGCTTTAGATCATAATTTTGGATGTACTTAGTATGTATTCATCTTTTAAAGAATCAATTTAAATTTTCATACTTCCATATATATATATACACACACACACACACATACACAAACACACGCACACACTTTATTTTAATATTTTATTTATTTATTTATTGAGATGGAATCTCACTCTGTCACCCAGGCTGGAGTGCAGTGGTAGGATCTCGGCTCACTGCAGCCTCCGCCTCCCAGGTTCAAGCGAGTCTCCTGCCTCAGCCTCCTGAGTAGCTGGGATTACAGGCGCCAACCACCATGCCCGACAAATTTTTGTATTTTCAGTAGAGACGGGGTTTCACCATGTTGGTCAGGCTGGCCTTAAACTCCTGGCCTCAAGTGATCCACCCGCCTCGGCCTCCCGAAGTGCTGGGATTACAGGTGTGAACCACTGTGCCCGGCCGTATAGAGATATTTTAAACAACACTGAAGTCCTCCTACTCTGCCTAATTAGAAGAGCATTGAAAGATCAGTCTGACTTCTTGATAGTTCTGAATTTAATGGAGCAATGAGGTGCAGCTTTGTTGAATGAGCTTAATTTGTCCATGATAAATTGCTAGTCTCTTCCCACTACAGTGTCTCTCAAAAATGGGACAGCAACATTCTTTGTGTTTTCACTTGCAGTAAGTAAGCATGATACAATTACATAAATGTACACTTTTCAGTTTGTTAAATAGAATCTTCAGAGATTCACGTCTGCTGCTATTGGTGATGAAAAATGACCCGTAGGAGGAATTAGGTAGGAGAAAATACGTCCTATGTAGTATTTCCTTCCCAGTTCTCTTTGAAAGAGAGTGATAGGAAAAAGGAACAATATTGAAGGAAGGCCTTCCCAGTTTCAAATAGGTTTTATTTTTCTCTCCTAGGCTTCCCTTACCGGATGTTTGGCGCATTTATAGTGGCATTTTAAATCTGTCAGACATTACAAAAGAAACACCTTTCTCACAAATAAAAGAGATCATTATTCACCAAAACTATAGAATCTCAGAAGGGAATCATGACATCGCCTTAATAAAGCTCCAGGCTCCTTTGAATTACACTGGTATGTAGCGTATGTAAGAAGGCGGATAGCAGAATTGTGCTGGATGATATTTTCATATCAGTTTGAACAAGAGGGCAGATCTAGAGAGACTGTCGTTATTTTCTGAGCGGTGGAGTTGAGGGAAAGGTGAGGGTTGCATGGGAAGTGAAGATCCCACGACTTGCCATGAAATCTCTTCTACGTAAAGAGCAAGAAATGTGAATTAGTTCTTTCAGGGAGGAGCACAGCTGCATGCAGGTGATGGAAATAATGGACGGAGGAGACGTCTGTGCCGTCTGAGAGGCACCGGGCTTCTTTTGACAAGAGTAGCAGAACTGTCATTGCTTTGGGCTTAGGGATATTAGAATGTGTGAGGACCAGTGGGACTAGATACATATTTCCAGGTATAATTTGGGTAGGAAAGAGACTGATGCCGAAAGAAGCCCTGGAAAGGCCAGAGCATCGTGATCAGAGGTGTTGCCTTGGAGGTTCATTGCTGCCAGGAGCTGAATACCCACTGTATCCAATAACATTAGTGGCCAGGCACGGTGGCTCACCCCTGTAATCCCCACACTTTGGGATGCCCAGGTGGGAGGATTGCTTGAGGTCAGGAGTTTGAGATCAGCCTGGGCAACACAGTGAGACCCTGTCTCTACATAAAATTACAAAAAAAACCACAATTAACTGGGTGTGGTGGTGTGCACCTGTAGTCCAAGGTAGTCAGGAGGCTGAGACAAGAGGATCATGTCAGCCCAGGAGGTCAAGGCTGTAGTGAGCCAAGATCGTGCCACTGCACACAATTATGTGACCTTGGGCATGTTGCTTTACCTCTTTGCACCTCTTAATTTCCTCATCTGTAAAATGAGGATGATAATTTCTTCCTGGGTTTGTTGTAATAATCAATACATTAAAGCACTTCATGTCTGGAACAGTGAAGACACCTGCTATGACTATTAAGGATCGCATACACGGAATAAGACGCAGGAACTTCTGAATGCTTTTGACCGTAGATTTAGGTTCTGAGTTTTAAGAATGTAACTCAGGAAATTGTAACACCAAAAAGGTCATGTGAAAAATGGTGGTGACAAATTTTCTTGAATCAACAGCCTTAGAAGTTGGGCAGAAAGCAAAAAAGTTATTCTTGGTGCTACTCTATAGAAAGAGAAGACAGAAAAAGAAAAAGATGTATTTTTAAAGTCTATATCCATAACTTTATTTGACCAAACTCTAATTTAAAAATTTTGTTTCAGAATTCCAAAAACCAATATGCCTACCTTCCAAAGGTGACACAAACACAATTTATACCAACTGTTGGGTAACTGGATGGGGCTTCTCGAAGGAAAAAGGTACAGCATGATGCTTTAAATATTGCTTCTAGAGTAAGTCTTACATGTTGAGATGCATGGAGTGGGTCGTTTTAATCGGCTTCTCTCTGAAATTATATCGAACCCCTTTATCTTTCCTACCTATTTATTCCCAAATATTTATTCAGTTATTCTTAAAAAATGTATTTTTGCTTTGGCTTGAAAAAAAAAAATTAGGGAGAATTTTAAGCATCTTACTTCATTCTAAAGATCATTTGCTTGACTTCACATGAAGGATTGTCCCCATCTAAGGCTGACGAGCCCGTGCAAGACCATCTGGTCCTCAGTGTTAGCAGCATTCCCATCTCCCAATACCATGTTCTCCCTTGATGCTAATGGCCAGGAGTACAGGCAGGCGTGTCGCCTCTCTCTGTGGCCAGTTCTTCATCTTCTTCTTCCAGGCACCCTTCCTGCAATCTGAGGAAGCCTAGGAACCACTTCTCTAACAATGCTTTTAAATGCTTAAATAAAATACACAGGATTACAAAAGAAACCAAGTGAAGTGCAAGACAGTTCTCAAAATACTTTCAAAAAGTACTACAATAATATATATGCCTCTTCATTAATCCTCTACATAGCAAGTTATTCTAATACCAAACATACTTTCAAAATAGTGGTGAGCATAAATGGCATTTTCACTTATCTGCCACAACTGAAAAGTGATATGAAAATATCTGTAATCTCTGTTGATGGCAAAGTCATAGATGCCACTGATACTGCTGTGTTTGTTGTCTGCATTCATAATCGAAGGGAGTGGTAGGCTTCCTCTGGAGGTTTGTGAAAACAAAGACTTTTTTTCTACACAAATTTATAAACCATGTGAATTCTTTCTGAGGACCTTAGGTTTGCAATTCCTACTTGTGGGTATCTGGAGTGTTCCAATTGTCCTTGAACTTTTTAAGAAACAGGCCAGTCTCCCTTTCCAAAATTACGTTCCTGATAGACACTATGGAGAATAATATCTGTGTCATTCTTTACAGAAGAAGGTAGCTTGCCAAACTCTCTCCATCTTTCCCGATTCAGTCCTTAGTTCAAGTGATTCACATTTTTAGATTTTTTACTGGTAATCTGAGACAAGAAGAAATTAAAAGTAATCTTCACTAAGCAACGAAAGCTCCCAACACTGTCCTCCCCATGAGAGATGCTCGCTTGCATTTACTCAAAAACAAAAGACCCCAAGACCCCTCTGTCGCGAAAACTCAGAGGGATTTTCAGAAACGATAGGGCTTTCAATTATAATTTGGAATATATGAAACAAAAAAATGAAAAGTGAGAACTTCCAGGCTTTGGATTTTTGTAGGTGATAAATATAAAATGGGATTTCTGGGGGACTGTTACCGAGATGAGGGGATGGCAGAAGACACGGAAGCAAGGTCTCCAGTCAGCCCAGGGTGCTGGGCTTGTCCCAACACCACACAGGTAATAAGAGGACAGTGCAGGGCTCCGTCTCTCTCTTCCTCTCTCTCTCTCTCTCTCTCTCTGTGTGTGTGTGTGTGTGTGTGTGTGTGTAACACTACCTTCCTAATTTTTACTATTTGTATTCAAAGATACGGCCCTTATAAAAAAGTACACTGCTCTGATTCACTTGAAAACTTATTTCCATATTTACTATTTATTATGTTTCCTCCCTCTGAAGTTATATATTGGTTACTTCACAGGTGAAATCCAAGATATTCTACAAAAGGTAAATATTCCTTTGGTAACAAATGAAGAATGCCAGAAAAGATATCAAGATTATAAAATAACCCAACGGATGGTCTGTGCTGGCTATAAAGAAGGGGGAAAAGATGCTTGTAAGGTAATGCATGAGATTATGAAAAACACAATAGGCTGCTTGAGAAAATTCACTTCAAAATATATTTTCCAATAGCATAATTTATTATAGTTTTTTAAAAAATTCAGAGACAAATGATCTGATAAATTTATAAGCAACTTTTAACAAATTGAATATATACAATACATATTTATATTATTCATGATGTGTGTCACAATCTATGCGTGTGCTAATTTAAGAGGGACAAAAATACATACAATAATTGCACTAAAATATAAAAACATTAGATTTGTTTGTCATTGGGATGATGATATCAAGATTTCTTTGTTAGATTTATTTCAGAATTGAAGAGGGGATACAAAAAATGCAGGCACATGAGATACTTGGAGAACTTTAAGAAAGTTGTGTGTGTGTGTGTGTGTGTGTGTGTGTGTTGCTGTGTAGTGGACTACAGAATTTTAGAGGTGGTCACTTATTTGAATCCCATTGTCATAACTTTCGACCATTTTATTTTTCCCCTGTGACTCAGGGAGATTCAGGGGGTCCCTTAGCTTGCAAACACAATGGAATGTGGCGTTTGGTGGGCATCACCAGCTGGGGCGAAGGCTGTGCCCGCAGGGAGCAACCTGGTGTCTACACCAAAGTCGCTGAGTACATGGACTGGATTTTAGAGAAAACACAGAGCAGTGATGGAAACGCTCGGATGCAGGCGCCAGCATGAGGAGTAGCCCAGAGTCTTGGCGAGTTTTACAACCTGGGTTCAAGTCAAATTCTGAGCCTGGGGGTCCTCATCTGCAAAGCATGGAGAGTGGCATCTACTTTGCATTCTGTCATAAGGACAAAAGACAGTGCACTCAGAGCTGCTGAGGACAATGTTTTGCTGAAGCCAGCTTTCAGCATTCAGTAACTGGGAGCTGATAATGTGAAGTCGCAACCGAGATCTCCATGATTGGGTGTTGTAAAATAAAATGTTAAAGATCACAATTAGCAAGTATTTTCTTCTGGTTGTGAAACAGAACTGAAAGTAAGTGGTTGAGGTTCTGGCCCAGTGCCTGGAATCCCTCTAATTGCACTATTTCTTCTGGAACTCAGTCTATCTCAAAGATGTAATTTCCTCTCCTTGCTGCACCTGGTTAGCCACTGAAACCCACGATTGTCTGCTTCACTTGTGGAAAGAGCTAGCAGGCTTGGGTTCTGTTCTGCTGAGTGGAAGGGAGAACACCTGCGTCACACCCACTTTTATAAGAAAGAGATGGGTTACCTGAACCCATCGGGCATGTTTGCCTCTTGGCCTCCTAACTTTGCTACTGGGGCATGGATAGGAGGGTCCAGGCTGCGCGTGTGGAGGAACTCGAGGGGCTGCAGCATTGCACAGCCTTCATGGTAGGCAAGGAATCTGCTTTGCAAGGGGCATTAGCGCTGGAGGCTCCGTGGATATGGGCTATCGCAATAGTAATTCAAGGAGCATTTTTAGGGTGGCGCATTGGCTCATGCCTGTAATTCCAACAATTTGGGAGATCACGGCAGGTGGATCTCTTGAGCCTAGGAGTTCAAGACCAGCCTGGGCAATGTGACGAAACCCCATCTCTACAAAAATTAGCTGGGCGTGGTGGTGCGTACCTGTAATCCCAGCTCCTCCAGAAGCTGAGGCAGGAGGATCACTTGAGTGTGGCTGCAGTGAGCAGAGATCACACTACTGCATTCCAGCCTGGACGACAGAGTGAGACTCTGTCTCAAAAAAAAAGGAAGCATTGTTAGGTATAAATTACTATTATTTATTTATTTATTTTTGAAAGGAGTCTCGCTCTGTCACCCAGGCTGCAGTGCAGTGGTGCCATCTCGGCTCACTGCAAGCTCCGCCTCCCAGGTTCACAACATTCTCCTGCCTCAGCCTCCCGAGTAGCTGGGATTACAGGTGCCCGCCACCACGCCTGGCTAATTTTTTGTATTTTTAGTAGAAACGGGGTTTCACTCTGTTGGCTAGGATGGTCTCGATCTCCTGACCTTGTGATCCACCTGCCTTGGCCTCCCAAAGTGCTGGGATTACAGACTTGAACCACCGTGCCCGGCCCTGTTAGGTATAAATTATTTCATAAAATTCAGACTTGTAAATTTATCGTAGCCTTTAGAATGGATGATAGAAATCCTTATGCCACACAAATTCCTCATATGCCAGGGCTCACCATAACTGATACCAGCTCACTTGATTCAGCTCAGTTTAACATTTACACAGAATAGGCCATTTACAAAATCTTACATAAGTTAAGTAGAAAAATAGAAAAGTGAGGTTTTCTGAAAGAGTTTGGGTTTTTCCTTCAATGCTCAACAACAGAGGTCCCCAATCTTTCTGGCACCAGAGACCAGTTTTGTGCAAGACACTTTTTCCATGAACCAGCGTGGTGTGGGGGGATGATTCTGGAATGATTCAAGTGCATGACATTTATTGTGCACTTTATTTCTATTATTACTACATTGTAATATATAATGACGTAATTATGCAACTCACCATAATGTAGAATCAGTGGGAGCTCTGAGCTTGTTTTCCTGCAACTAGACAGTCCCATCTGAGGGTGATGGGAGACAGTGACAGATCATCAGGCATTAGATTCTCATAAGGAAGCTAGATCCCTCGCATGTGCGGTCCACAGTAGGGTTTGAGCTTCTATGAGAATCTCCTGCTGCTGCGGATCTGGCAGGAGGCTGAGCTCAGGTGGTAATGCTTGCTGGCCTGCCACTCACCTCCTGCTGTGCAACCTGGTTCCTAACAGGCCATGGACCGGGTACTGGTCTGTGCCCCGGGGGTTGGGAACCCCTTCTCAAAGACACACTGGGTGGTAGGAGGGGCTAAAGGTGGAGAGGCTAAAGGAAAACATGAGATCTGGGCTAGCCACAAATCAGATAGTAGGAAACTGAAGAGCTAAAAATTTACTTCAGAATTGAATGGCTTTTATAAAATCTGGCTAGATTCCATGAAATCATTTTAAAACCGCACTATGTAAACTTTTGCCTTTGCATGCTATGAAGACATTAGTCCTTGTTCATGTGGACTTTTTTATGTTTAAAAGGGAGAAAACGGTTTGCAGTGAAACTCTTCTATCTCAGTCTTTGAGTGTTGACCATCGGATGTCGGAACAGGACTTTGGAATGCCTGCAGGGTAAACCTTTGGCCTGTGTTAGTCAGGGAATGACCTAGTTTGGTAAAACAGAGGATAGTTTTGAAATATGGAACTTTCCCGAGGCATAAACTGTCATTGTAAAGTTGTCAATCAAAGTCCGGTAGGACCGGGATGGTGTCTCGGTCACTCACTGTGTGCTCACACCTGGGGGAAACTGAGGAGCCCTTCACACAGTTACAGCCTCATGGGACTAAAAAGTGTGAAATGGGCTAAGCAAATGAGAGGCTGGGATGACTTCACTCTCGCCAGGAAGAGTGAAGGGAGCAGGCATGGGTCACTGGCAGTTCTACTTCACAAAGGCTGGTGGCAGTGCCAATCCTGCGAGCTGGCCTTGCCCTCCTGCGGCGGCAGTGTACACGTGGCATGCAAGTACATGCGCAAGTCATCTGGCTCCAAGGTCGGCCAAGGGCTCCAACATCTGTCTCAGTCCCTGCCAAGGCATGGGAACCCCCTCTTGAAAACTTGGAACTTTTCCTTTCAATGATTGTTTCTGTCTGTCTGCTTTACTTGACTGCGAGCCGCTTCTAGGAAGGCTCTCTCATTCATGTTGCATATAATGGGCATTCAGTAAATGGCGGATGATGATACACCTTTATTACAAAAATAAGGCAATGGAGACTTGAAGAGGTAAAATGATTAGCTCAAGGTCACTGGCAAGGACAGAGCTGGAATGAAGCTCAGTATTCCCGTCCCAGACAATGTCCTCTCACCGATATCCTGCTGCTTCTCACTAGGAGAAGGAGGAAAGATGACAGAGCATTTATAACCGCCATCTGTTATCTTCATTAACATCTGACACTGGTGTTTCCCCACCGGGAGGGATTTTGCCCTCCCTTCCCCTCAGGAAACATTTGGCAATGTCTAGAGACATTTTCGGTGGTCCTAATGGGAGAGGGTGTGCAACTGGCTGGAGTGGGTAGAGGCCAGGGATGCTGCTAAACATCCTGCAATGTGTGGGACAGCCCCTCACAAAAGAGAGTTACCTGCCCCAATATCAGTAATGCCAGGGTTGAGAAAGCCTGACCTCATGTCAGCATTAAAACCTTGTAATGAGAAGAGACGTTTCAGGAACAGCAAGAAAGGGGTCGTAGGACCTGGCAGGTTGTGCCCTTTCTCTTCTTTGTTTTTGATACATTGTATTTGTACATATTCATGGGGCACATGTGAAATTGTGTTATATGCATGGAACGTGTAATGATCAAGTCAGGGTGTTTAGGATACATACCCATCACCCGACCATTTCTATGTGTTGAGTACATTTCAAGTCCTTTTCTAGCTATTTAGAAAACTATGATACCCTGTTGTTAACTATAGTCACCCTGCTCTTCTATCAAACATTAGAATGTATTCCTTCTGTCTCACTCTATGGTTGCACCCATTCAGCAACCTCTCTTCGCCCCCACCCCCTACCCCCAACCCACACACCCTTCCCAGCCTCTGGTAACCACCATATACTCTCTACCACCATGAAATCATCTTTTATGGAATCATGCAATGTTTGTCTTTCTGTGCTTGGCTTATTTTTAACATAATGACCTCTAGTTCCATCCACGTTGCTGCAAATGAAAGATTTCCTTCTTTTTTATTGTGTCTGTTTTCAAAGCGAGTTTTGATAGGCGAGAGAAGGGGCTCTGAGAGTTGATTAGGGCCATGCCTGAGAAGGGGTCTCAGTCAACTGATGCCATTGTGGTCATTCCTGTCCCAAGCGGAAGGCTTTAGGTCACAATATGTCCAATACATCTCCCACCTATGATCCACTGAAAAGACAATAAATCTTGGGACCCCCAAAATCACGAAGCCACATGGAAAAGTCAAGCTGGGAACTGCATTGGGCAAACCTTCCTCCCATTCTATTCCTAAATAAGATAGTTTTTTTAAGCTATAAGAAACCTTTTTTAAGCTTTAAAAAGGTTTTAAAAAGCTACATTCCTCACAATTTGCCCACGAGAAAATTCCTTGTGGAAAAAGGACAGGCAGAAGTCAGAGTCACCCCTCTGCTGACATGAGACAAGTGGGTATCTGATTACTTCATTTGCCATATTGTTTCACTGAGCCAGACTAAGGCATGAGTGACTGTTCTTTTAATTGCATATTTGGTGAAGGGCTAATCGGAAACTCGAAAAAATGCACCTGTTGTCTCTTATCTACCTATGACCTGGAAGCCCCCTTCCCTTCTTCTAGTTGTCCCACCTTTTCAGACCAAACCAATGTACATCTCACGTAGATTGATTGAGGTCTCATGTCTCCCTAAAATGTATAAAATCAGGCTGGGCCCTGACCACCTCGGACACATGTCATCAGGACCTCAGGAGGCTATGTCATAGGCACATCCTTATCCTTGGCAAAATAAACTTTCTAAATTGACTGAGACCTGTCTCAGATACTTTTTGGTTTACAATCCCAACTTCTGACTTGTACTTGGGTTTCTGTAGACTAACTTCTAGATTCTTCTCAAGACTTTGTCTAGTTATTCCTGATTTTCATCAGGCTTCAAATATTCAAAAACCTTTCATTTCACTGAAAAAAAATTAAGATAAAAATAGTTGATATGAGAATTTTAAACTGCAATGCATTAGTTGAAAATAATTTTTAAAGAATATCTAGGTCAGTTTAAAAGAAAGGTCTATTTAATCTCAAAGAGTTTCTATGAAGTCAAGACTTTTATTCTAGGCCGGGCACGGTGGCTCATGCCTGTAATTCCAGCACTTGGGAGGCTGAGGCAGGTGGATCGCTTGTGCCCAGGCATTCCAGACCAGCTTGGGCAACACGGCAAAACCCTGTCTCTACAAAAAGTACGAAAATTAGC